GTTTTCCTTATGTAAGTTATGTTCCCTCCTGAAACACGCGTGTCTGGAGGTAAAACACGCGTGTCTGGAGGTAAAATTTGGCTTCAATATTTTTGGCTATTTTAATCAGGAGGTAGCCTTCCAATTCTTTTGAGTTCAATGATAAGAAGTTGAAAATATGGCTTATTTGCTCGGAACGATTCTACTGAAGCGAATTTAAAGCTGCACTGTGCAGCCTGAAATGCAGGCGTCGTACATATACACATGGAAGAGGTAAATTTGTGAATTTAATCTATACTGTTGAGAAGACTGACAATATTTCTAATAATGTTAAATATTGACTCATAAATTTAAAATTGACATTTAGTTATATATTTTAAGCATATAATTATTACGGTTTTGGCCGAGCAAAAACACTGGAATGAGGTAGAAAAAGTAGGCGTGGCGAGGGTTGGATAAGTGATTTTTGGGCTTGAGAAGAAATGTGTTATGTGTGTATGTTTATACTTGATTATGTAAATTAAAAACATTTTTGGTGAAACGATCGAGTGAATTGGAGTCTCCGTAACACATACAATATCATACCAAACCATACAATTAATTTAATTGTGCTAGCCTCAACAACCCGATGGGGCTGATTTCCATGAGGGGCGTGAAAGTTTACTAGTGCTAAATCAGTACTCCTATTTCTGAGATTGTATGTATTACTTCTTTTATTGTTAAATAGGAATGATTCATTTAGATTGGGAGCGATGTTGCCATTCAAAATTTTACAAATAAAAATGGACTTAAAATTGTTTCTTCTTTCATCCAGAGATTTTCAATTTTGGTTCTCGAGTAATTCAAAAGACCAAGTATCGTAAGTTGCCCCAGTAAGACGTCACTCGCGCAATTATCCCATGGAGAACTGCAATAATCGAAATATGACTGTATTATAGCATTATATATAACATTTTGGTAGTCGACAGTGGTACAAAAGGTTTAATCCGTCTGATTGTACCAATGCCGGGACTAGCCTTAGAACAAATAGATTGGATATGTTTATCCCAGGACATCCTTTCATCCAGGCTCACGCCGAGTCATGAATATTTCGGTACTTACTCGGTTTATTGTTAATTAAAATAAGCTTACTGCATACTTTATTCTTGAGATTGTGGGAAGATCCAATGATCATATGTTTCGTTTTATTGGGATGGATCTGAAGTTTGTTTTGTATCATCCATCATTTACGTATATTTTTAATACAGTCAAAATATGCCTTCAAATAACAAATTCCAAAACTTTGTTTGGGTAAATTTTTTAACATGTATGACATGTATGTACTGAATGTACAAGAATGTACTGACATGCAATTGAAAAAGCTTTAACAAAATCATTCATTTAAGGATTCTTCCATATAACAATAACTACCTACACAATATGTTGAACGCGCATCGCAAATTATACCCGTCTATAGTAGAAATATTTCTTACATACCACAAAGTTCTCGATTTTATCGCATTAATTTCTTTTACAGTCACTTATTTGCGGAATTTTTGTCGACAGTGGAGAAGTAAAACACGTTGTTGAATAAAAATGTCCATGTAAAAACCAGTGAAATTTGATATGCCGGATAAAAAACGCCATTTTTATTACAATAATTGTCGCATTCGTCGCAATCTCGTTTCCAACTTTCCAGTAATCCGAGTGCATGCCGCCATTCGTGTTGAAAGCCATCTCCAGTATCTCCAGTGGTTTTCTTGCGTAAGTGCTATTCGTCGGATTCGTCACTCACCAAGTTCACCGGCTGCGCTGTCTTGACCGACTGCGCTGTTTTGACTGGCTGAGACTCTATGAGTGAGCGCTCGATCGTGATCCCCTTTGAAAACAGCGTGTATATTGGCCACGTCTCTTCTTTCTCTGTATTGTATCTGTGAGACTTCGTGAAGGATTAGTTATCTGGGACTCCCATATTTGGGTCTTCACCTTCGCTGTGCCTATTTAAATTAGTGTATTTAGTTTGGATTTTCCACAAAACTCATCAAAAATGTATTAAATATTAATCGCCGAGGTAAAATAAAACTTGCTCATCAATGCCAGATAAACGTGTTAGATACAGCGTGAAAAGATTGAATGGCACACAATAAAATTGTTTTGAAAATGATTATTTCCATGATGTCTTTACCTAGATGAATCTGTCGTTTCACTTAGATCTGAATTTCTCGGTCGATGTCGATAGTTCTTGTTGTGGCTAAAATAGCCAAATTCATTTCCGTGCGCTGACGAACTCAACGAATCATTGTCTGAACACAATTATATTCACGGGAAGTTTCACTCTTTTCTAGGTTTCCTCCATGACTTGCATATGCTTTAAACATAAAATGTAAATGCACTGCCCGAGACTGCAAGATTTAATAAATTAAAGTTCTGTTCTGGTTTCTGCAATTAATGGTTAATATTAGCAATGGCAATGTTTAAAATTTGTATAATTGCACGCGGGGATAGCACCTACGCAAAAGAAAATGGAGATGGCATTTTGTTTAGTATTCTGTGACCCAGTCGCAGTGAACTGGTCTCAACGAGATCAGTGGACTCAACAGGTACTTTTTTGTATCTCGAGGGATTTTCTTTATCTGTACTTTTGTACCGTCGCTTCGTTTTTTATCTTGAAAATGCAAAAGATTTTTAATGGTTTTAAGTTTTATTTTGTGCTAAAGAAACAAATTCGTGGTCAAGTTGACATATTAAAGACAAGAATAGAAGAGCGTGGAGGGGCTGTGAGCAGCGTGCATCGCACGAGTTTCGTGAACTTTATTTTTTTAAACGTTTAGCAAATTTCAGGGGAGAATGCAGCACTTGATGATGTATCTGAACCTGAAGAACGATCCGAGGGGCAGAAAACGAATGCAGAAGATATTAGGTTTTATATATTAAAATCCAAGGAGGGGTGCATGGGAAAGCAGTTAGAAATCCAAGAGGGTTGAAGATCCAGACAGTAAAAAATCCACGGGGGGGTGCACTTATTAAATGGAATGGCCCAATAAATAAGCTAGGTGTGTCAATCTTGAATTGATATGAAATAAACCATATGTTTCATGTCAATTTCCAGCAGGTGTGATTGCTTCAATTGACTGGGCTGTCAAAGTTTAGAGAAACAGTTGAAGATGTAAAGACTTGCTGAATCAGACAACATCACTAAGTTGTAGTTTGAGACGAATTAATAAAAAAATATACCTCTGATAACTTCTTGCAATCAAATTACGATTTAAAACTGCTTTTAGCGTGATTTGTCACGGCAATACGGCAATATTTTTATAGATTTTGATGAAAAACCTTTCTTACGAGATGCCAGTGTTCCCTTTATCCCTCATTGTTTTGAAATATTTTACATCATCCTAAATTGGTTCAAATTGGTTGAGGTCCGTTGGACTATTTTTCTAAACAATGGGATCATATAAAATATTTCAAATAATGACGAATACAGGGATCACTGTCATCCCTCATCGTACGGAACGTTTTTGATCAAAATCTATAAAAAACATTGCCGTATTTTGTCATGTTAAAAGCAGTTTTAACCCCAGTTTTAATAGCCCCTCGCCTGAAGTGTAAAACTGCAATCGATGGTCAATAGCCTTCATAATGCGTCGTCGGAATCTTGAGTCTTGTTCACATTTTGAAAAGTTTGAAATTTTTTTGTGTATCGATTGGAGGCTTTATTTTTTAACGTCATCCGCTTTCATAAGTTTTTAAAAGGAGTAGTGGAAAACCTGAATGCCTCACTTTTGAGATCCTGTACTGTTTTTTTATGGAATATATTTTCTCACGAGAAGTAACTTTAACTCCTGCGTTTACACTTTAAAAAGGAGTTCGAATTTTGTACCGATGAATTGCATGCACGGTTATAAAGGCGTGGTGAATGGCATATTGTCGAATTTCTGAAATAAAATAATTTAATCTCTTTCTAATGTTTACCCATGCAAATTTCCCAATTAAAAGTTTTCAAGCTATGTTTGCGAGTTTCTTTATAACTTTCTAAATTAAAACCAAACACAGTGGAGTCTGTACAAAGCTAGGAATAGTAGTTTTCCGTAACCAGTCGTACATCTATATGCAATTGTAGACATTTAAATTAATTAATCTTGGATCTGACAAAAAAATACACGATTAAAAATGGTTACATTGTCCCAATTGTAAAAACATTTCCCTAAAGAACATGCAAAAATGATATAATCATGGTTCCCCCAGGTCGATTTTGTTTTGTCGATTGTGGCAATAAAAATAACATCTGCAACATATTTTGTCTTTGAAAAATTGAAAATTGTTGAAAATACGACACGGCAAAAATTTAACGCGTTTACAAAAATTTAATTGAGCAGTATGTTTGCCTTCATTTTGGAATTATTGCATTTCCTAAATTGCTTCCATCGTCACTGTCATGCAAGGTCAATAACATTGTTCTCCTTTGACATTGACATAAAATTGAACAAATTCATCAAGCAATATCATGCAGGTTCCATCAACTTTCATTGTCCTCTAATCTAGGTCGGCTTAAGTTACAATTTAATAGACTTTGCCGGTACCCTGACTTGATAAAGAGGAATTTTTCACGTGGACGGACTAATAATTTTATATGTTATTTTATCACCGGCCAGAAATCACAAACATTGAACACATTCGCTGTAACAAAAATGTGCTTGTAACAACCGGCAGTGTATGTATATGTAGCTGAGAGTGTGTGTACCTTTAGACAAAATATGATTGTAAACGACGAGTTTCTTTTCTGGCAAGCTTCTTTTCTTTTAACAACGTTAGAAAAAGGTTACCCTTTTTTGCCTTTTGCCTATCGGAGACGTAAATTTGCAACATTTGTTCAGTCGGGTAATATGATTAACATACCCAAACTAACTTTGCAAAATGTTGGCATGCATTGCCCCTTTCACCATGGTAGTCTAAGCATCGTGCTTAATGCAAAAAAAGGCGCTAAAAATTCTAGGTGTTAATTAAAAAGGTTCGTTGTATATTAATTGCTTCTCATTCAAGAAATCCTGGTGGCGTTGTAAAAGATCGCATGAATGCCGATTCCTTTGAGAAATATCACAACTCTTCAAAATTAAACTCAGACAGGTGAATAAGCGACAAAATTAAAAGTTTAACCAACTGACCCAACTAATTAAAGACGAACAGCTTAAATAATCCAAGAAAACTGTCCTATAAAAGAATGACATTTATCTTGATATTAATCTTTTGAAACTGAAGAAATATACTATATACTTTGAAATCAGTGAAAAGGTGGTAATGCTTCTTCGACTGAATAATTACATGCACGTTACGCGCATATTTAGTTCGCATGCATATTATACGCGTATTCTTTTTCTCTTAAATGATATTCCAACTCTTTCTGTTAGGTTTAAATGAAGACTATCAGCAAGAGAATCAATTTTGCAGCGTTGGCTGTCTACGTGGTCTTTTTGGCAACGAGAAGTATGACTATGTTATAAATGAAATATTATTGACAATAAATAGTCATTAAAATCTGTCTATAAACCTTGAGTTAAGGCCGTGTCATATCACTTGCAATTGCATAGATTAAAATTATGCACAGAAAGAGACACAGTAGGAAGGTTCTAGGGAGGGAATAATTTTTTTTGAATTTAACTTAAATACAGTATATTAACACCTTAATGTTTGATAATTCTTCTAATTTCTTCATAAACTATATTGGTCATCGCCTGCAGGACTTTTTGCATATATGACCTTTCCCGCAACGAGATATATATCGACAAAAAGTAGCCTAAAAGTAGCCTAATAACGTGACAATCCTGAAGAAGGATTTCCTGATTATTTTTGGTCAAGTCTGTTGCTTTTCCATCACCTTTACCTTTCGTAAATAAACCTTGTGACTTTTGTGCATTTTTATTATCTTATTCAAGTACAGTTGGAATAAATAATCTTGTAAATTTGAATGTTCTGATTATAGGAAATAGGACCACTTGGCAATTGCTTTGAAAAATTTCCCTCTTTGGCCACGATTTCTTCTTTGTTGTTTCAGGGAAAGGCTCCTATTGCTAATAGCCCCCTGTATATTTCAGAAATTCCTTAAAAAGGGCCTGATTGCCCGTGGGAAATCAGCACAGGACCGGCGGTCCATACTTTACCGCAAATAGATGCTCATGTTGCCAAATGCATTCATCACTATTACATGTAGAATGTTAAAATATACTAATCATGTTATTGCTTTCTTTCTGAGGTTGCTCAGCAGAGTTCCACGCGTTGCTAGGAACATCTATTTATGTTCCTAAAGAGGATCTTTTGGGTGACATCCCAAATGGAATATCATTCTTCAAAGAGATTCCGGAGGAATGCCTACGAACGATAAACCTCGCGACCACCATGAAAGATCAATCATTTTACAAGAACACTGGAGAGTTTTACAAAAGCATCGCCACTGAGACAAATCTCGATGCAAAATACGAAGGAGGCTTCTCTCTTGGGGCTTCTCTGGACGCCACTACAAAAAGCGTCAGCGGTAATAAACGCGAAATTAGCGGAACGTCGCTAAACTTGGAAACGAAGGCTTATGAACAGCAAATGAAACCAAACTGTCTTTACAATACAGAAATGGATTCAAAGGTCGTTAGTGATTTTGCTTCCCTTCGAACAAAGATTTCAAATCCTTGGCGGGAATCGTCTTGGCGAGATTACCAAAGGTATTTATATAATAATACGATATTGGAATAGTTATATATCAATCTGAGTATAAACATTGGGGATACAAGGTGTTCATTAATATATTGTGCAGTCGAGAGCTACACTTGTGTTACGAGCTTATGAGATTTTATGAGCTTATGAGCGTATCAGCCGAGATTCAACGAAGCGTGAAATAACTTTGAGTTATTGAATTGCATAGAATACATGAGCATTTAACATGATCCCGGCAGACAACCCCGACAATAGCATGTGTGAGTTTGGTGTCATAAAGATTTATTTCTCGCGTAAATGGGATCCTATGAACAGCCCTTGGCCCTGGAGATGGCGGAAAATACAAAATGATGTTTCATTCTCTTTATATTTGCATATACGTCTGTAGTTTTATATCCACTGAATTTTAGTCCAACTCTGTTGTCAATAAATATACAGTGGCGTGACATGCAACCGAAAACTAAAGGTTAAATTCTTAGCCAGTCACTGTTATATAATTGTAAAGTGATATAGCTAGTACTCATATATTAATTTTACGCCCTTTTTTAACCTACTAGGTTTCTCCACGCGCATGGCTCGCACGTTATCACAGCGGTAACATTTGGTGCAAGTATTGATCAATATGCTTTTGCTGAGCAGTCATCCTCCTACACCGCACGTGATTTCACCGTTAAGGCATGTGCTTCTCTGGCGAAGGATGTCAAAGTTTCCTCAGTTTCTGGCACTGCATGTTTTGGTGTTTCCTCAGAAGAGATTAACAAGGTATTTTTTTAAAAGGCACGATATGGAAATAAAAATTATTTCTGCTTTGTTGAAAAAGATATTCACATATATTATAGAGACTTTTTACAAAATTTGTTTATCCCTTCTACGAAAGATATTGCATGGTGATAAAAACATTGGCAATCGAGATATATCCGCCATCTTGTTTTATAATCAGATCTAATTGCAAAAGCATGGCTGACGCTTAAAAAAAAACAACTACATGTTTTACCCTTTAATTTAGAACTCTAACAATTTAAACGCTATAATTTGAGACTGTAATACCCGCAACTATCACTTCGCTGAATCATTAAATTGAAGTTACAAGACGAATTTTCACCCAGCTTATGACGTAACGCATATCAGAGAAGAATATGCATATCCAAAATGGCGGATGGAAGACAATGATCATGACATTCGAAAATATCTTGAGAAATAATAAAGTTGACAAAAATCCGTAAACGAATTTTGTACATATAATCATGACGTTCTTTCAAAATAGCCAAAGATATTTTTTATTGCCGTATCCCTTTAGGATATATACAGTACGTTTCCTCACATTTTTACAACACTTTTGCTATATTTATTTCACGTTATCGTATACATTGCATACCAGTCTAGGGTAAAGATCATGTTACTTTTGAGCCATTGTATCCGCAAGGATTGCTGGTTACAGTTTGGTAACATGCTCGTTGCAAAGTTATGCTCAGTGCATCGTGAGTTTTGTTACATTTTAATGATCGACTGACGACGGTAGCCAAAATGCGTCGTCATTCCTTTATATCAGGCCGGTGGTTGGGTCAACACATGTGAAACTTTAACATGCAAAATGCTTCACACATATTCCCGGATGGTGGTTAGGAATTCTGTATTAAGATTCACCTTGCAAACGTCTAATAACATAGCTATCGAAATTAATTTTCAAACCATCATTTTTAAGATATCTGAAAAACATATGACGACATCAATTACAATCCGTGGTGGCAATGCAACGACGCGTCAAAAACTCCTTTACGACCGTTCAGATGAAATAATCCTTCAGTTTCTAGAAGAAGGCCATAGCAGCCCAGCTCCGATACAATTTACTCTTACACCAATCTGGCAGGTCCTCAGTGAACAGCAACAAAACCAAGCGAAATCTATAAATCTTCAATACTATTTCGATGGTTTCTTGAACTTCGGCTGTAATCACATCTCAGGTATATCAGAATTAATAAACAAATCCGACAAGTCACCATCATAAAAATCATCACGATCAACACCATGCCCCAATCATCAATGTCATCATCACGTCAATGGGCAGGTTAATTTGGATTCTTGTAAATGTGAATTGACGTTTTCGCTAATTACGTCACAAGATTATCGTTTTAAATTTCGAACTACCTTAAATGAGATGCATTTCAAGTTTTTTTCTCACAAGCTATGTGCAAAGATGCAAAACATCCTTCTTCAACACATGCATGGAAAAGAATTTTTCATTTTGACTAATAAGTATGGAAATACGACATATAACGCGGGAACGAGGCACGCGGTCTTGGACCCCCAGCCTCGTTTTCGTGTTATGGCTTATTTCAATGTTTATTGATCAAAATAAAAAAACTTTTTCATGCATGTCTTGAAGAAGGAAGCTTTACTTCTTTGCACGTGGCTCGTGAGAGTAAAACTTGAATTCCATTTCATTTAAGTTGGTTCTAAATGTAAAACGTTGTGACGTAAAATCTTGTCACGTAATTACCGAAAAGATGTATTATAATTCATTAGAAACATTCAATATTTCAGGTAAACGTGGACTAGATCTGCAGACATTCAACTTCGCCAAATACTCCACAGACGACAACCCAGTCTATGAGTGCACCATAGCACCTTCTGGTTGTCATGACGACGACGACTGTCATTACACGTTCGGTGTTTATTGTTCTTGTTATGGCGATTCTTGCATACGGTATCGACACATGAAAACAACAAGTGGTAACACCCGCCCCTATGCCACCCAACAGACGGAAAGCGGTTGGGCATGGCAAGGATGTGGTTGGTATACTTGGGGATCGCGTTGTTACTGCGAGAAGAAAAACTCGTACAGAAAGCCTATCTGGCCTGTTGTATGAAGAAAAATGACGGATGTCTTGTGTCTTGCAAAATAAATCCTCTCAATCACACATGTTTTATTTTGTTATTTGCCCTGAATTCTGCTCCAATAATTAATTTCATGGAAATGACGATCGATGAATACAATATTAGTACGTTCATTTTATTTTGGGCTTTCGCGAGTCATATAATTATAAAAGCTGGCTATGGCCTTAGAGGGAAATGGCAATAAAATACTGGTTTCTTATTCGAAAGACCGAATAACACAGTTACAACATAGGTGCCTTGGATTTGTCCAAGCATGCTTGTCAAAAGCATAATAGCGTCCGTAAAAAGTTGATATGTGAAGTACGACACTTTTTTGTCGCCAGAACTAAAAAGTAGGCAATTTTAGAAATCAATACCCATGATATTTTAGATCTTAGAAACTGTTAATTAACTTTTAAACGTTTCGGGTTTCCCAAACATAGCAGTAATGACACATAATGACAATTACTATGCACATAAATGACGATTTAAAAAAGACAAATATGCTCGTGCCAGACAATATCTTTGATTTACCAACAGGGCCGTTGTCAGAAAGAGGATCCTTTCAACCGACTGTAACGAATATGTTCAGACTAGTTAATATATTAAAAAACCTAATCGACTTAGAGTTCTTGGAATTAGATATTAAAGAATTGGCTGTTGACGTATTGTGAACAGAATAACTCCAGAACATAGAAAGGCTGTCAATATAAGTGGATAATGAAGTTTTTCCATTTGAAAACACTGCACGTAGCTATAATTTAGAACAGAATAATTTATACGAATATTCAACCCCTTGCAATCATCACACTTGTTTCGCCCCTGCAGATCTGCAGTTGGTACTTTTGCTCTCTTTAACTGAACTAAATAGTATAATCTCATATTGCCTTCATTGATGACTCCTTCGATATGAGAGTCGTTCCATCCATGCATGTCGGATATAATTGCTTTGCTCTTAACCAAATACATTTTGGATAAGATATCTAACAAGATATTGCTGAAGTACAATACTGCATTACTTCACTAATTTCATAACTGGGATTATTACTACTCCCAAGTTGAGTTAAGTCATCAGTATTCTCCATATATCCTGTTTACCTAAAATGGCTTTTTTATAATTTTTATTTCGTAAGCACTTATACGAGCACTGGTAAAATTACTAAATACAAGCGTTGCGTAACATTATGAAATTTGTTAACAATATACAAGATAAACTGCACTCTTTAGCTACAGCGGAAGTCACCAAAGGCTTAATGAGCAGAACTTTCAGGCAATAATGAACGGATTTCTTTATCGTAGAAACGTCGAATATTCTTGTGTTAATCGTTGAAATTCTTACAGTGGATAACTATAAATGGATTTTACGTATAATGATAATTACTCGGCACATCAATGACGATGCAAAACAATTTATAAGCAGCGCTGTTCTCAGACAGAGGATCCTTTCAACCGACTGGTTAACGAACGCATTCCGCAAATTAGTAATAATAATTATACATAAAATAGCCAAATGCATTTAAAGGAAGGAGAGAATGTTAAAAAATTGACTGTTCACGTATTGTGCACCGACGTCCTGAACAACATCGTGTTGCATGTGAAATTCTTGCAAATATGTCCTCCACACCCGTTTTAACCTTGCGACTTCAAGGTATAATTATTCAACTAACCGCGACAGCTAGCGACACCTGCGCCACTTTATGTTTAATAGATTGTATATTTGACAGTGGCGATGCACAATTACAGAATCATACCGGCTACCTTTTCTAAAGATTGGGTAACATTATTTTATGGTGTTGTTAAAGGAAGAACATAATTTGGACCAACGTTAAAGGAAGAATATAACTTAGCTATATAAGATTCGCTTATGGGATTAAATCTACATTTATATATTGCGTTCAGAGAAAGAACCTGTCACTTGCAATGCGTAGGCATTGTTACCACTTGACCTTGAATAATAACGAAGTTGTTCTATAGGAAATCTGTCTTCCCGGAATTGCAGCTTATTCTATAGGAAATCTGTCTTCCCGGAATTCGAATGTGCATGTTATTTGGCACGAGTGAACTGCACTTGTAATTGCAATTGTTGTATCCATAGCAAAAAAATAACTTTTAAGAACCTAACCAGAATATTGAACTAAAGACTTGCTTGTTTTTTTTTGCGTTTTGTTTGCAGCAATAAATGGACTGCTATAAACCACATAACCCAATCTTAATAATTTACTGTTTGTTGCATGTTAATGATTCCTACTGTAATAAGCTATAATTATTGTGTAATTTTGCAATCATCAACATATTTTGCCATAAATTTCTTAAAGCTGGTGCACGCATTTGGTAAATTCTTTGGGCCTAGTTTATTCTTCCTCATTTTGTATCATTGCACTTCAAAACAGTCGAGATCTGGCCACAAATGCCTGATTGGATGGTTGAAAATAATATCGTATGAACGTATAGAATCAGTGTACCGTTCGCTAGCTTTTGGACATCTTGTAAAGGATACACATGCATGCTAAAAGACTCAATTATATGCATATGATTTATAATGGTCTTTGGCGGCTTATTTTCTTGTCGTCTTCGCGTATATTTTGTCAGTCTCTGAATTAGTCCATATGATAAACAGAACATTACACGGTTCGCTCGAAGATATGGATTTTATGTTCTTTTTTATTCAGATATTGCTTTTGCCACTCGAACATAAACAGTACTTGATGCTTACGAGTTTCGACTGCATGGTCGAAAACGTCCGTGTTGATTGTTGAAATGCTTACAATGCCCGACTGCCTGTCTATGCCTATCCACTGTCGTAATTGTTATGTTTAGGTAAATTTTAGGTCATTAGGTGTAAGTTTATTATTCTATGTATTATGCAAATTCTGTTTATACGATTAAATCAATACTTATATTGCGTTCAGAGAAAGAACCTGTTAATTACAATGCGTAGGCAAACCATAGAAACCGTGGAAACCATAAAGAGAAGCGTTGGTTGTCACTGTGATTGGCAACTAGAAGAAATTATATCTGCTATAAACTTTTGCCCAAGGCCAAGATTGTAATTCTGATCAAATTTAGCGAACATGTATAGCAATAATGAATTACTTCTCCCATGTTGTGCTAAGTGATATTTTCCACATCCTGCTTATCGATAATAGCTTTTCTATATTTTTTGTCTCTCGAAGACATATAAATATAACTGAACACAAACGCTGCGTAATATAATGAATGATAAATTTCTGAGAATCAGTTGATAATATTAAACAAGACGCTAGGCACGCGTTTAATACATTGTCCGGTATATTGAAGTTTCATAATATGCGGGGCATGATATTAGTATAATTTTCCAGCAATTTTTAAAGGAAAGTTAATAGAAAACAAGATAAAAACACAATACAAACCTAAAAGACAATATTTTCGATAGAATTATAGAGGAACAAGGTGCACTGCCTTTTTTTATCAGAGTGCATGTATAGGCTCGTTAAAACGCCCGCACTTCACACTCAAGGATTTTATTTTTTAAGGGTTCCGCCCCTTATTTTCAGAATATTGGTTGTTCTAAATTTCCTCATTCCAAACCGGCCGTTTGATTGCATATAAAAGCGCAGTGCACCGTACGTTTTCATAAATTTGATTTCAAATACCACAACGTGTGAAAGCGAGAAATAATATGGACGCTGTAAGTTTCGTCAAATCTCTCGAGCTCCATGAAGGCCCACCAATTTCACATCGAAAGGGTGAATATTTGTTAAAAACGCCCGCTGGGACAGGGAAAGGGGAAGGAGACGCCTTTGTTGATGCTGGCAGCCTTGTGTCTTTCACTGAAAATTTGACTAGGCAAAATCATGAAGACGTCCTGAACTCCACACTTCTAGCCCAATTAGCCGCAAGTAAGAAATATGACCGCCAGACTGACAGCGTCAATTGGTACAAGTTTTACATATACGTCTTAATGAAGGTTGGTTGGGTTACTCCTGATTTCGAGTTCAGTAAGTACCATTCACACACGGGTTCGCTCGTAATGTCTGAGGTGGTCCTGGATCTTGTCATGTCATTAGTTCGTGAAACTGAACCAACTATGGTGGAAGCAACTTTTGATTCGTTCAAAAAATCAGGTCGGGAGACCATCGAGTTGTTTCATAACAATTGTGTCTCGGGGCAGTACGGCAATTTCCAAATCGTCTCCTGCACCGCCGATAAGCATGACCAAGTCGTTGCGAAATTTGCCGGTGCATATTTCAAAGCAAGAAAAGTCGATTATGGCTTTTTATTCTTCACGTACAACAACACTGAGATTGATTTAGAGTTGGCTGCCGATTCCCTCACACTGAGCAAGGAACGCTATTCTGACGTTCGTGAAGACGTTATCGAAAAATTAGGAGTAAGCGCCAAAACGTTTGTGGAAAAATTGGAAATCTAATTTCGTGGACGATTTGGACATTTTATTCATGTACCTGCATTTTTTTTCTTTATCTATGAAACAACTTAATCTAAATATAGTATAATAAATACTGTCATTGACTAAAAGTTTCTCAACTATGATAAACATGTTATTAATTCTTTCTAGTATATCTGTATACAATTAGCTGGTCATATAATACCGCCCATGCAGTGAATTAGAGATTTGTAGTTGTTTATTGAAATCAATAAAACACTTTGATGAAAGCAGCTGGACGATATGCTCTAGCCTTCGATGCATGGTTCGACAAAAGAGTATACTATACATGTTCGCTAAATTTGATAAGAATTACAAACTAGGGCAAAAGTTTATAGCACATGCAACGTATACTAGCATAATTTCTTCTAGTTGCCAATCACAGTGACAAACGCTTCTCTTTATTGTTTTCAAAGGGTTTTGACCGTGATTGTAGCATTTACAATAATACAAGTGCAGTTCACTCGTGACACATCACATGCACATTCGAATTCTGGGAAGACAGATTTCCTATAGAATAACTTCCTTATTATTCAAGGTCAAGTTGTAACAATGCCTACGCGTTGTAATTGACAGGTTCTTCTCCTGAACGCAATGTTCTGGATAATTTGCATTCACGCGGGTGAATAATAAGGAAGTTATTCTAT